TTAGAGGACACTGGTTATAGTATACCTTTTTAATTGTCTATCCCATTTACTCACTTAAATTTAAGTGAACACTTATTTTAAATACTGTGTCTGTTTAGAGGCACAAGGAAACACATTGTTAGTCTGGGGAGGGGAATAGGGGAGATGGGTAATTTTTGTCAGTGAGCGGGATTTGGGAAAAAAATTATTATTATTATTAAAAGGTTATTACAAGAGAAAATTGTAACCCCTTTTAGTAATATTTAAAATAATGAACGTCCAGTGGGTTAAGTATTTTTTTTAACCTTTTTAAAAACTATTTCGTGTTTTCTGGCCAATATAGCTTTTTTTGCAGTACTGAAAAAAAAAAATCTTTTTAATACATTCTTGTTATTGATACCCCCCCCCCCACACACACACTGGTTAGCTAGGATAATGGAACTATTAAAGTTTGTTGTATAATATTCATTGAAATCATTATCAAAGGTATGGCAAGGCTAAATTTGCTTCTGATACTGTGTCTTAAAAAGCATTAGAATCACCATGACATCCGTGTATACAACTGTTATAATAAACAAACACAAATTTGGTTACTAAGGACAGGGATTACTATATATTATTATACATCTGTCACCCTAATGCCATAAGCTACAGAGTGCCGTAATTGTGCGGTATTTTATAGAATATTTTCATCCTATCATATTAGGAAATGTGAATTCCAAATATGGAATGATTACACGCATAAGTATCCTCTAAAAACAAAAACAAGCATGGCTGCCACCAGAGTTTGACCAGACTCCACACAAAAAAATTCGCTGATTCTGTTCTAAACATTTTGAATTTTGGCATTCCCATGATGTATCCTTGGAAGGAAAAGATGTATAATAATAAGGTTATTACGGGGATACCTCAAAGTATGCACTCAGACAGTACACCGTCGTATCGACCTCTGCTGCGCGTCAGTCGTTATTCCAGCTGTACTGACTTCGCGCATACTTTGAGGTATCCTCGTAATAAATTCATAATATCTACTATATCAGTATGAAACAATTTGCAATGGCTTCTTGTTTATTTTATTTTGAAGCACAATAATTCAAAAAATCAGAAATACTTATTAAATATTCATTTTGATACCAACACAGAAATCTAACAAATTTTATTAAGGAATTATCTCATTGTATACTTCCCCTGGGCTGCACTTTCACTGTTTATGTACATACAAGGTAACAGGGAGCTATCTCACATGACAGTTATTTGAGGTATTAAAGGTCTTTCATGATGCAAGACATTTTTCATAGGCTCATGACGTAGACCAGTTATATTTAATTCCAGTTCATTTCAAGTTCAGAGCAGGTGTTGGCCATAAGTCATTTGATAATTCAAAGGTGGTTGAGAGTGGAAAAAATTTCATGAAAATCACTGTAACCAAAATAGAATGTTCACTCACATACATAATCTCATGATTTTTTTTCTTTTATAAAATGATTAACTAACAGTATTTTATTTTATGAATAGTGCCAAGGACCTTTTTCTCATTGTCTTTTACTTTATAGTCCTAATGAAGGATGTTGACCCGAAATATTTTATTGGGAATGTGATTTTAATAACATAAAGTGAAAACAAAATAAGTAATTTACTTCATAATAAATGCTAGAGACACCAAACAAGTAGTAAACAGTTATAGTACTGTAAAATCTGCATTAAATGCCCAGGCTTCTTTTAAAATGGTATTATGCAACAGAAGTATTACGCAATTTCTGTTGGAGCATCTATATACAAGTATATGAGAAATTGTGGATTTCAGGTTCTCAAATGTTTAAAACAAACAGGTGCAGTTTCTATTAGGGATGGGATTTCTAATACAGATTTTACATTATAAGTGGAGAAATGAATGTAAAATACTTTTACAACTATCTAGGCTTCATGTTTAACTGTTTTAAAGGTCAACTACAATTCCAAACAAAATGGTTCTGTGAGCACTTGTAAAGTTGATTTAAACATGATTAAAAAGTTAAAATAGTGAAGGACAATTTGAAAATAATCATAAATATGATTATACAATGCGGATGCATAGATCACATAATGTTTTTTTGCAAAAAACAATAAATGCATATGTTTTGTAATATCACATGCAAGAACATGTACAAACAGAGCTCAGTAGCTCTTTAATACCACTGGGAAAGCTATACATGTACATTATACAAAAATTTACATCATCACAGTCCTCAACCGATAGCTGATTGCTTTGCACTTTTAAATATAACCATCAATTATGAATGTGTGTCGGCAATGATGGAAAAGGTTAGATCAATATAGGGATGTACTCCCAGAAGACCATTTTGGAGATATATCAGCAGCAATTACACATCATAATTTTCCAATTATGAACACATGAAGATCCCAACACTAACACACCTTAGTTTCTTCATTTTGAGTATTTCACCCTTCCCAACACTAACACTATTCTGAGTTTTTCAACCATATTAATATTGTGTTTGCAGCAAAAAGATACCGTAAAATAAGTATTCTATAATATCCACCACTATGTCAAGCATCTGCAGTGATTATTTCTTTTAATTCAGAGCATATTCAACTGGCATCACTGGACAGTCAGCTGAGCAGGGTGGTCAGAGGGTTAGGGCAGGGTGGTCTGGATTATACTTAAGTTTGATGTCTACCATCCCTCCTTGACCTGAAAGTCATTAATCCTGTTAATACTGCAGTCCTCGGCAGACTCCAAGCTTCTCATTCTTTCCACAACCAGATAGAATAACATAAACAATTACTCAAGGGAATAACAAACTTTACTGATGTAGGATTGGTCATGGCCATACCCATTTGCATATTTCCTTCACTGTGATTGGTTTTTTCCGCCCACTCAATGCCATATTTAGAAACTGAGTGGGTGTCTAGCTCTCTATTAAAGTGGACGAGTTTCTCCAATTTTCTCAATCACTTCTGACTTCTCAACGCCTGCTTCGCTAGTCAGCGGTTTCAGCAGAAGACTTTAGTATCAGTCGGACGAATTTCTTTGACTTTACTTTGACAACGCTGTTTTCCAGCTGAATTTCTAATTGGTGAGTGACTTCTTTGCTTAAATTCATGAAATCTTTTCCATTGGCCAAGTGGGAGGAGGAATCCAGAGAGAATTCTCATGATCTTATACACCTTGTTTCATACTAGTTGGTCTCAAAATTTGAAAAAAGTATGACATGCAGCCTTGATCTGGCTTTTTCTATTGTGCAAGTATATTCAAGATGTGATGTGATATAAGTAAACAATATCATAAATTCATTTTTGACTGGCGCTTCAGATCACCATCAAAATTACTTTGTACTTTTGTACTTTTTCTTCGACTGAATACTTGTTTCAGACCAAAGCTAATTTCAATATTCATATCCTAAATCTTACATTTAAAATACTGACTATGTATAACAAGATTGTTTTTAATCCATGGTGTCGTTTCTAACGTTTCCAATACATCCTTGCAAGATTTATAATGCTCACAGTTCAGGCTCAACATTTTCAAAGCTATCGCTACAAAAGCATTGCCAACTGACAAGTTAACCGATGGAAGGATGATACTAAACATGGTATTCTATACATTTCAGTGTAACATGATTCCTATCACTGTTATTTAAAACAGCAGGGATTGTCATTCTGGGCACAAAAGGGGTATTTTGACTTTTGGGTAGTAACATCAAGGTGACATTTTTGAATTGCAACTTTCATGTAGATAATGCTAATACATTGTGCACCACGACAGCGGCAGTGGGTACAAATGTAGTAGCCAGTTCTATGGCAGACAACATAAGTTTAACACAATGCCTGATTTCACCATTTATTTCGGCTAACCATGGAGGCTTTCAGAAAGCAGTGATTTAATAAACAGAATTCGTGTGATTAGAGGAACACAAACTTTTATCTCATTCACATGTGATATACATTTTTAATATACCATAGTACACAAACCATTCTCGATGATTTTTTCAAATCAATTATTCATGTATTTTATTTTAAACTACCGGTAATATGAATGAATGAAACATTAAATTCAGAAGTAAAGATTATGAAGTGAAGTGAAGTGACAACTTTGAAATGATTCCTGGTCAACATCTTGAGGAGACTGAGATGCAAACTTTTCTTTATTTTGAAGAAATGTTTTGTTACAATACAATGAGATGAAAAGATTTTATTTATTTTATTATTGCTTCAATATTGTTGTGACTAAGTTTTAGGATGACTTCATTCAGATTTATTTATGATTTCTGCAGTTCTACATTTCTGAAGAAAACTGTTCTGATTTTTGAACAAAACTGCTATTTTCATTGTCTTGGAGAAACTAGTATTCAGATTGCTTTGATATTTTGAGTGGCTGCTTCAGAGTGACCATATTCAGATTTATTCATTTTGAAAAGATTTCTACAGTTCTATATTTTTAGAGAATATTTTTTTTTATTTTGATACTTACTGCAGCAATCTTCATTCTTAGCCATGAAATTTTGGTCATGTTTGATGGGTAATTTTTTTGATAGTTTGGTTCTGAATCAGTAAATTTATGTTCACATCAATTACCCAGCTCTAAACCTATACTGATTGCCATAATTTGATGTATTTTTCTTTAATTTCCTTTTTCAATTTTAGACACAATTTCCCACTTCCTATAGGTCTTGATCAAAATAATTGAAAAAAAGTAATGCAGGTTTATTTTATGAAAGGCAACAAAAGTTGAATTAAGGTTCAAAGGTCAAAATCACAGTTAATTTTGGCAGATCTCACATATTTCTCCATTCTATAAAATAACTACTTTTTGTTATTCTATAGACTGATGAACTTATTCACTTTATGTGTGTATATGTGTATGTGTGTGTAGTAACTTGTTTGTAAAAATCAGCTGTTCGCACCTGATGACAAAATAATGACATTATTCGCTACTGTTGTTATCAAGTATACACATATCCATTCCTATTAATACAGACAATGTTGTCACAGCAGATATGAATTTAGTGGTGAGCAGTGAGCTACATTATCAGACATTTGCATGCTGGTTGGCAAAAAATGTAAACAAATGACGTAACAGTGCGATGGCTTATTATGGAATTAAATTATTGTTTTGGTGCAATCTTCAATGCCACTTTATCATGTGATAGGTTTTCATACAATTCAACCACATTCAATTGATGAACAAAACTAATTTATCTATCATATTTCTCACAATTTTTTGTTTCCATTCTTGATTGCAGGTTGTGTGTAATTAAAACTCAAGAACCAAGATGATTTCATTCCGTACAAGTTTGATTGTTTTAGTGGCTCTGGTTGTTGCCTGTATCAGTGCACCCGTCCCATCAAATCAAGGGGATGAAGTACAAATTTCAATTGAGATTGCAGGAGGACCAGTGGAAGGACAACCTATCTATGTTATAGAGGGAGAGACAGGAGTGGAGGAAGCACCAGAAGAGGAAGCACCAGTAGAGGAAGCACCAGTGGAAGAAGCACCTGTGGAAGAAGCACCTGTGGAAGAAGCACCTGTGGAAGAAGCACCTGTGGAAGAAGCACCTGTGGAAGAAGCACCTGTGGAAGAGGAGGCATCCGTGGAAGAGGCGGCATCCGAGGAAGAGGCAGCAGAAGAAATATCTGAGGAAGTGAAAGAAGCTGAAGAGGTAGTAGAGGAAGCAGAAAAGGTAGTAGAGGAAGCTGAAGAGTTAGCAGAGGAAGCTGTTGAAGTGGAAGAGGAAACAGCAGAAGAGGTAGCTGAGGAAGTGGAGGCAGCAGTGGAAGAAGCAGAAGAGGTAGTAGAGGAAGCTGAAGAGGTAGTAGAAGAAGCTGAAGAGGCATTGGAGGAGGCTAAAGAGGCTGTAGAAAAGGCAGAAGAAGCAGTCACTCAATTGATGACACTAGGGGAGACAGAACAAGAACAAGAACAAGTTGTTGTCGAAATCGAAGTTGAAGAAACAGATGAGACTATTGAAGAACCAGCCAAGGAGCCAGCAAAAGAAGAACCAGTCTTAGAAGAGACAGAAGAAGAGGAGCCAGCCCAAGAAGAGGAGCCAGCCCAAGAAGAGGAGCCAGCCCAAGAAGAGGAGCCAGCCCAAGAAGAGGAACCAGCCCAAGAAGAGGAGCCAGCCCAAGAAGAGGAACCAGTCCAAGAAGAGGAACCAGTCCAAGAAGAGACAGCAGCAGAAAAGCCAGCCCAAGAGGAACCAGCCCAAGAGGAGCTATCCCAAGAAGAGACAGAAGAAGAGAGCTCATCCCAAGAAGAAACACCAAAAGAAATACAACCACCAGCAGCACACATTGTGATTGAGATCAATGTTGAAACAGGAAAAGCTGAGAGGAAATAAATTGAACTTTAATATACAAGGATGATATAATGATGTTTTCTTATACATATCAGCAATTTTGATCAATATCAAAACATATAAACTGTATAAAACCAACATCAGTATATCATTCCCGGAGAATTTTTAAATTATTTCCAAGCAAGTAGGATTATTATCAATAGCAGCTACAAGCACATTGACCATCTCATAATCACTATGGGAGGAGGTAGCTATAAAGAACCTTTTGAATGCCAAGTCAACTTTTGTCACCTTCATAAAATGAATCAACTTAATTTTTTTTCAAAGATGTTAAATCAACTTATTGTAGGAAAAAACATATTGCAGTAGAATTTTGATGAATAAAAAGATGGCATTCGAAGGTAGATGCAAATAGGAAGATATGCAATTAGAAAAAAATTCAAATTGACCATGATGCAATATTTTAAATTTGACACCAAGCCTAACATGACCTAAAGTTAATCAACTCTGAAATCGAGCAATGTAAAACAAAAAAGTCTTTCAAAAATGGGTGAAAATTGTAACACTTGTTTTGTAACTTGATTTCACAGTAAATTTAACTTGGATTTGTAACACTTTCATATTTTTTTTTTAATTTCATGTTTTTGACATAGAAGGTAAAATACTTTCTGAATTAGGAATGGATCACATTTGTATAGACTACTTGCAATATTTTCACTTCATTGATACCTCTATTTAGTGAGTATCTTTACATTAATCAAATTTACAACAGACCATTTTAATTTTACAGCGATCAGGTTGCTGGAAGTGGATATAATACGAGTCTCAGAGTACAATCAGGTGAAATCCTAGTACTTTTTTTTTTTCAAAAAGCAATTTTGACAAGGGTCTTGCCATTTTCAATCTTGACAGATAGAAATTTATTTTTTACACTTTGAGTGATTGGGGCGGGGGATGATTAATTTGGCAAATGGACCTGTTTATAATTGTTGTTATTCTTTGGACTAATTAAATATGCTTCTGCTTTTATAACTTCATTTTTTAATGTGTATTTGTTATTTATTACGTATGGTTGTCTGTATGATACTATGATTGTGGTATATTTACTGTTATGCAGCATGTTATTTTAGCTTGGCTTACACTCTATTTTGGTGTTGTTAATTCTCATAATGAAATCGTTTTCATTATAGCTTCGAGATGCTAAATTTGCTGAAATGACATGTAGTTATTACTAAGTAGTCACCACATCCCCCAACCGCACCCCAGCCCCACAACACCCCACCCTCATTTTCATTCATACCCTCATACACACAAGGAAGGTTCCGAGATCTGGTTCCAAAATGGCAGAAACGTGCATTTTATTATGAAAATGGCCGACAGTGAGTCATCTTGATTCAGATCTCTGAACAAATTCACAGTGCCTATGTATCCTATGTAAGTTTGAATTGAAATGATCTGTCTATATATATCAGAGATAAATAAGGCCCCACAACTAACCCATCGGCCATTTTGATGTA